GCAGGGAGCCCGATGCGGGACTCGATCCCAGGACCCTGGGATCATGACCTGAGCTGAAGGCAGTCGCTTAACCAACTGAGCCACCCAGGCACCCAGTTTTCCTGTTTCTTCAATGATTTTTAATCCTGTTAAAGCACTACATTTTTATTTTCTCCTTTGGAAAGCTATTTTTAAAAGCTGGAAAAAAAGAATCAAAAAGGAATTTTTGTGGCCAATATACATTTTTTTGTGGTCAATATGCATTTTAAAAGACTTTTAGTAACACATTATTTGTAAAAACGAACAAAAGCGGAGAAACAAAAACAAAATAATCACCTGTAATCCCAACATGCAGTGCTAACTACTATTAACATTTTGGTGTCTATAGTAGTTACTGAGGTGGGTTAATACTTACAGATTCCCGAAGGTACCCTTGTCCAGCAACATCATATAAACTGAGTCCTATTCTTGTCTGATGAAGCCAAACTGACAATAAATAAGAAGATGAAATGTAATTTTAAGATCTGTCCTTTAGCATATATATGGATAAAAGGAGATAAACAGCTAGATTAGAAGGACAAACTAATAACTCTACAAACATACTTCTTCACACACATATATTACTTATTCAGTAACCCCAAAATTGTTTGTATCAAAATACACCATAGTATTAATGGCAGGTATCAACAATTCTACCCTGCCTAAAGCAACAATAAAGTTGATGCTCTTGAAAATATTCTTCACCCACTAAACTTAGTGTTCCACCAAAAAGGGACAGTGGGTGTAATGTTATGCCTTCAGTGAAGGTGCATTTATTCTTATTCTACTGAGGTTAATTACTGTGACTAAATATTAAAGATGGTACGCATAGGACTTCAGAGATCATTATGGAACTTACAGGAATCATAACAACTCCAGGTTGTTTAATAAATACTTGAATCTGATGCTACAATTCTGAGTTGGGAACTATCCTCTCAGGCAACTCAACCTATAATAAGCTGCCTTTGAACAACATGGGTTTGAACTGTGTGGGTCCACTTATACATGGTTTTTTTCCCCCCAATAAATATAGTATGGCCCTGTAAATGTACCTTCTCTTCTTTATGAGTTTTTTTTTTAAAGTTAATTTCTACACTACGTAGGGCTCAAACTCACAGCCCCAAGATCAAGAGTTGCCTGCTCCACTGATTGAGCCAGCCAGAGAGAGAGAGTACAAACAGGGGGAGCAGCAGTGGGAGAGGGAGAAGCAGGCTCCCGGCTGAGCAAGGAGCCCAACGTGGGGCTCGATCCCAGGACCCCGGGATCACGACCTGAGCTGAAGGCAGACGCTTAACCGACTGAGCCACCAGGCATCCCATGATTTTCTTAATAACATTCTTTTCTCTAGCTTACTTTATTGTAAGAATACAGTATAATACATTTAACATATAAAACATGTGTTAATTAACTGTTTATGTTATTGGTAAGTCTTCCAGCCAACAACGGGCTCTTAACAGTTCAGTTTTTGGGGAGTCAAAACTTATACTCAGATTTTTGACTGCATGGGAGGTTAGTTCCCCAACCCCTGTGTTCTTCAAGGGTCAACTGTATATTGGTAAAATAGAATTACCAGTGAATTAAAATAATTTAAATCACTATACATTAAAACTCTTGGTTCAGCTTTTGATATATAGCTCTTAGCTAGTATCTTTAGAATACATGTTTTTGTTTTGTTTTGTTTATAATAATGAACCCATATGTATGGCAGAAAATCTCAGCTCTAGTAAGTTCCTCAAGGAAAGAACTGGAATAATAAAAAATAAATCTGGGTCAAAAAGTAAGAAATTCTGCTATTCAGGGGTGCCTGGGTGGCTCAGTCAGTTAAGCATCCGACTCTTGATTCTGGCTCAGGTCATGATCTCAGGGTCCTGATATCCAGCTGTGTGTTGGGCTCCCTGCTGGGCATGGAGCCTGCTTGGGTTTCTCCCTCTCCCTTTGTCCCAACCCCCACCCCCCAAGCCTGACTCATGCATGCTCTCCCTTTTACAAAAAAAAAAAAGAAAAGAAAAGAAAGAAATGCTGCTGTTTATTCAAACTTACTAAGAGAATTGTTTCACATAGAAGGAATATTGTAAAAGCATGTACCAAAACCTCCTTGATTCCCAGATAGAGGAGTTTAAGAATTTTCTTTTTTTTAAAAATTTTTTTAAGATTATATTTATCTGAGAGAGAGAGAATGAGAGACAGAGAGCATGAGAGGGAGGAGGGTCAGAGGGAGAAGCAGACTCCCCGCTGAGCAGGGAGCCCGATG